AACCCCACTAGAGCTCTGACTCTTAATCGTCAATGTACACCGTAGTGTGGACAGAGTAGAGCAGTACCAGACAGAATGTCGGGGGGTAGCGGTAGTCCGACCACACTTTGGCTTAGTCAACCCTTTTCGCTTAGTCAACATAAATTTGCCCACTTGAGCGAGTCACCTGATTGCGGCCTTAGGCCCCAATATCAAAATGCCCCGTCCCTTGTCACCTGAAGCCAGGGAGCTTCCCTGTACGGAGGAACGTTCCTCCGAAACGTTCTGGTTAGTTAGTATAGGATCAAGGGATCCTCCGCGGTAGGCATCCAGGAACATTCCTAGGTATCCTACAGGCATTCCTGCCTGGGGCTTTGCCTCAGGCAGTATTGTCTGTCACGGGCTTGACATTGGGTAGGTGCGCTTCTACCCGCCAAGACCGTTTTAGTAGGTCTGTGGGACGGTTACCGACTGAGCTACTAAAAAGACCAGAATACCAAGTCGACAACTTGGTACGCGCATCACTCTATATAGTGGTTCTTGGTCAGTTCGTCACATTGTCAGGGCCCTGACCAGGTGGTCATGTGACCTGGTCACATGACCCAGAGACCTCTGGAATTGCACGGCCGCCGCCGTGCAACTTCAGCTCCTCGTGCAGTTTATTCTTCAATTAAGCCATACCCATACTCCGGGTTTTGGAGCCTTACAAGTATATAGAGTCCCTGGATTCTCCCTCCTAGAGAGCCTTTCCTCCCTATAGGAAAATTCTTTGACTACGAGTCATAAACAAACTTGTCTTTTACTAGGCTCCTTTGTAGACCGTTATATCCCTGATCACCCATTCCCGCAAATGCACCCTCGATTTATCTCAACTTTCGCTTACAATTACACAATAATTGTATCACTACGACGCAATGTCTACCCCATTTGACCAATCGTATGACACCCAGGAAGAGATGGCTGAGGCATTACGTGATTACGCTATCTCACAGGGTTACGTCGTTGTTACTCGCACGTCCAATCCGGGCCGCAATTTTCGAATGAAATGTGATCGTGGTGGCAAATATGATACCAGATAGTTCAAAGATAAGCCGAAAGACTACGAACCGCTCAAAAAGAAGGGATCAATGGTCGATAATTGCCCTTTTTGGATATATTGCATGCGCTCGGCCAAAGCAGATTCGGATAAATGGCACGGCAAATGGCATGTGCAACGGTCCCATCTTATTCACAATCATACAATTAATTATGCTGAGCTGATTAACCATCCAAGGGCCCGGAACAATCGATTAAAAGATGAGCATAAAGTAAAGCTTAAAGCTTATCTTGATGTCGGTACTCCTACCCGGAATATGCTTCATCTTATCCGAAATGAATATTCTGACCTTTTTATCACATCTCAGGACCTATATAACCTAAACAAGCAATTCGAACGTGAAACTATAGGGAATTTGACGTCGGCACAATACCTTGAGAGCCAATTAAAAGCTGGCAATTGGTTTTACAACAGCAAACAGGATAAAAATGGCAATTTGACTTATCTAATCTTTGCCTATCCAACGTCAATCGAGTACGCTCGTAAATACAATCGTGTCTTTCTGATGGATTGCACCTATAAGACAAATTGATTTCGCATGCCGCTCTTTTATCTGATTGGTCTATCTCCTTGCAATACTACATTTAGTATTGCTTTTTGTCTGATGTTAGAGGAAAATGAGGCATCCTACATCTGGGTCCTACAAACAATATTTGACTGGATTGGTCCGATATCTGGCTATAACCCTGCTTTATGCACTGATCGAGAGCTTGCATTAGTCAATGCAATTGATTTTTATACCCTGATTGGTCCCATTTATCGTGTATTTGGCATATCAATCAGGCAGTAATCAAATATTGCAAGAAGCTCTTCGTTCGGCCTGATAAAAAGAAGGCTAAACGGAATCAGACTAAAGCAGAGCAACAGCAAGATCAGATTGAAGAGAAAAATCAGCAGAAAGCTTTCGAATTATTCTATTCTGATTAGCATTACATTATTGTGTCACCATCTGAGGCTGAATATGAGCAGAGATAGGCCGATTTTGTTGCCAAATATAATGTCAACCGTATGTGACCGCTAGTCACATAGGAGACCTTCCTAGTCCGGATATCGGTATTGATAACTACCGATCCCCGAGGATTATGCAGAGTTTTCTGTTATTTCCATGGTTCAAAAGTTATGTCTCTTCTAACTGCCTTTTTAGGCTAGATTGCTTATTATTCTTCATGTATTTAAACCATCGTTTGCAGCTAGATTGAAAGAATAAGACCTTCATCATTCGATATTCCTGTCAAACCCTAGGATCCGTCTAAGCTGCGCTAAGCCTGCTACCGTAGATAAGTTCAAGCACTTGGTGATCAACTGGTTGATCCTGAGTCCTGGATGGGTGATATTTAACCTGAGAGCCCGGTGTTACAGACCCCTGTTCAACGAAAAGGCTATGAGGCGAGAACAGCGGGGTGATGACCAACCAAAGATAACCCAGCCACACCCGGCACGTGACCAGAAGGTGGTATACGGATGATAGGCTTGGCAGTAGGAGAATGGTAGGCAATATACCATTGGGCTACCAAGGCTACGATCAGGGGTATACCAGGGAGGACTATATAGGAACACTCGTTCACCCACTTGTTGATAGTTCTTGTTTAGTTCTTCGTGTTCAATAACAACTACATCTTTGATAGTAACTTGTTACTGCTAATAGATTCGCCTACCACTATCACAGGGAGGTATACGTACCAACCTGGCCTTACTTCTATCTTCGCTGCATTCAGGATCCTCAGGGAGGATCATCGAGACACCCTACACCAGTTCCAGTAGAGCCACCGGGCTCCCAGGTTAAGTATCACCTACCCAGAACTCAGGATCAACCAGTTGATCACCCAGTGCTTGAACTTATCTACGGTAGCAGGCTTAGCGCAGCTTAGACGGATCCTAGGGTTTGACACTAGTATTGGATGGTCATGGGAGTCATCTTACTCCGGAATTTGACCAGCTATACTCTGAAAATGATATTATCCCTATTTGTATATTACCTCATGTATCGCATCTCTTACAGCCACTTGATATAAGCTGTTTTGCGATTTTAAAAACGTTTATACGGAGGCAAGGTGGCGGAATATATGAGACTCAACATCAATTCGATTGAAAAAGAAGATTTCCTGGATATCTTTCCTGAAGTGCGATATGACACTTTTAAGGAGACTACTATTCGAAATAGCTTTTTAGCTACTGGATTAGTCCCTTTTAATCCGGATCATGTGTTAGAAAAGTTGAATATTCAGCTTGAATCTCTAATACCTCTTGAACTACTACCAAATCGACTGTTACCTCCTGAAGCCAGGGGGCTTTCCTGTACGGGAGAACGTTCCGGAGGATCAAGGGATCCTCTGCGGCAGGCATCCAGGAACATTCCTAGGGATCCTGCAGGCATTCCTGCCTGAAGTGTGACCTCCTGAAGTTAGGGAACTTCCCGGTGTGGAGGAACGTTCCAGAGGAACATTCCGGTTAGTTAGTATAGGATCTAGGGACCCTCCGGTAGGCATCCAGGAACCTTCCTAGATGCTCTGCAGGCCTTCCTGCCTGAGGCAGAGCCTCGGGCAGTATATAGAGCCCCTACATCCTCCCTTCCAGATAGCCTTTCTTCCCCATGGGAAAATTCCTTGACTCAGAGTCAGAAACAAACTTGTCTTATATTGAGCTCTTTTGTAGACCGTCACATGAAGCAAGCCCCAGGCAGTATATAGAGTCCCTGGATTCTCTCTCCTAGATAGCCTTTTCCTCCCTATGGGAAAATTCCTTGACTACGAGTCATAAACAAACTTGTCTTTCACTAAGCTCCTTTGTAGACCGTCACATCGACTACCATCTTCCGGCAGTGATAGTGACTCCAATTCTCTCTAGACACTTAAAAAGCTAGAGAAATCTAAATCTCGCATTGATTTAGGCCTAGAACCTTTATCCGATAATCTCTCTTCACCTACAAAAAGAGAGATTCAGTACCATTACAATATGACAGTCCGATTGTTTTATTACTATCTTTTTCTCTCCGATCGATGCCGCCAGTTAGAAGAAGCAAATAAGAAGCAAGCAAGAAAAAGAATAAAACATAAAAAGCAGATCGTTTACAAGGGTAGTCTGGGGAAGTTAGAAGAGATTCAGGATAATATTGGTGTTGAGAGAAACAGTAGTAGTGATTATATATCTTTGGATCCAACTTCTACAGAAGCTATAGTTGAACCTGAATTACCTCAGATGTCTACCATTCGCCGCGATTTTACTTGTTCTGGCTGTAGTACGAAAGGACACAGGATTAACCAATGCCCTGAGAGAGTTAGATAGTCAATCTTATTATTGTTTTGGTTCTAAATTTGCTGTTGAAAATTGTGATTTTTTTGAAGTTTTGATGAGGTGACCGGTCGGCCGGGAATCACGTTACCCAATGTCGGGAAGTGTGGCAGAAATGTGGGTCTACCGAAGAAGTGACTATTCAACTGAGTTATATGATCATATTCAAATGAATGAAGGTCTTGATTCTTTCTAACTACACGATAAAGAAGCCGATATTTATGTAATTTCAGGGGCTTCATGGTCGCCATAAATGAGCGGAATTGCACGATTTATCGTCATAAATCAATGCGGTTGCATGATCGGTCAAGCAAGGCGATGATATAAGCGGATTAGTCATATCCCGCGGCCACAGGAAGGCACTGAGTAAGCCCCCCATAACCGCGCCGGCCCGCATGATGATCACTAACCATTATTCAGCTTCGGCCTCAACTAACACCGAGTTTAGTCAACATCGGCCTTTCTGAATGCCTCTCTTTTGAAATCACCCTGGCCCAAGGGGAGTTAAATAGGCCAGATGAGAAGGCAACAATGGACTTGAATATAAGAATTCCATCAGAAAAATCATCGCAACCTCCAACTATCGAATTATTCCAAGTTTCAATCCAAGCCAACACCTGAACCAACTCCCGACAAAATGTCAAAACTCATTACCATCTTTGGTGCCACCGGCAACCAAGGTAGCTCGGTCATTCGAGCCATCCAGGCCGATCCCAAACTCTCGAAGGAATTCAAGATCCGGGGAATCACCCGTGATGCTAGTAAGCCCGCGGCCAAGGATCTCGTCGCGAAGGGCGTCGAAGTGGTCTCGGTACGTTACTCTTCCTATTGAGACTCTTCTATAGCTCGCGTATCTAACGAGAAACAGGCCGACATGTCCTCCGCATCGTCTCTCGCTGCCGCCATCGAGGGATCCCACACCGTCTTCCTCGTCACTAACTTCTGGGAATCCCTCTCCAGAGAAGTAGAGGTCGGGCAGGGCAAAGCGGTCGCCGACGCCAGTAAGGCCGCAGGCGTCCAGCACCTCATCTTCTCCTCCATCCGCAACGTCACGGAGATGAGCAAGGGTCGGTTGAAGCGGCTCGCTCATTTCGACGGTAAAGCCGAGATCGAGGATTACATCCGATCCAGCGGCGTGCCCGGCTCCTTTGTACTGGCAGGATTCTTCATGTTGAACACGTTCGAGATGATCAACAAGCAAGGCGACACGTATACCCTGGCGTGGCCTGTTGATCCTCATAAGGCGCAAATCCCTGTGTTTGATGTCGGAGATGATACTGGTATGTTGTGTTTTCTCAGTGACAATTTGAATATGTTGGCTGACCCAGAACAGGCAAATTTGTCATTGCGGCTATTAACCGCGGACCGTCAAACGAGCGGATTCTAGCGGCCACCGAGTACTACACCCCGGAACGTCTCATCGCTGAGTTCTCTGAGGTCACTGGACACAAGGCACAAGCTGTACAAATTCCTAGCGAGCTGTTCAAGAGCTTCCTGCCTCCCGCTGTGGCGGAGGAACTGAACGAGAACATCCTCCTGCTGGAAGACCCAGGGTACTATGGTGGCGAGAGCTTGGACGCGTCTCACGCACTACTAGGCCAGCAGAAACCGACTGGTTGGAAGGAATTCGTGCAGCGGAACAAGAGCAAGTGGCCTTGAAACCGCTGGGCCGGGTATAGGGACTAAATGCGAAGCTTTGGGTTATCAAATTGGGAAAAGAAAATATGTATGAATGCATTTAGGCAAATTTTCATTTAATAGTCGAAATCCAAATCGTCCTTTCAAAGCAGCAACAGGTCTAGATTAAACCCAATAGCGTGAAACGCCCATATCAACCCAAATAACCGGCCCACAACCCTAGACCTCCATCACGGAGCCCAGTGACCTCCACAAACCGCACCGATCCCTCGTTTCCCGCGACACCTTCCCCATCTCCGTCTCATGCTGCAAAACGAGTTGCTCTCCCTGTCCCCACTCCTTCCACTCCGGCGTCCCTGTCTCCCGAAACACATTCGGATCCAACGCTCTCACAAAACTAATAAAATAATCCATCATCACCGGCACGATGGCCGCATTCTCAGCAGTGTACGCCTCGTAATGCACGCCCCCGTATCCGACGCCGAAAATGGCCTCGGTCTCCAGCATATGTCGCACGCCTAGCCCCATGGCATCCATGGCCGGATCATGCAGGTTGAACAGGTATTCCCACACCTGGCCGGTGGATCGCATCATGGCGTCCGCCATGAACGTAGCGGGACAGGTGAATGCAGCGTCGCCGTAGGCCGCCGACGCAGAGGGGAAGTATGCTGCGTGTTGCGGCATGGGCTCTTCTCGAGGGTAGGCCTCGTTAATCGCCTTCAATTGATCGGGCGAGAGACGGGGATAGTTACTATTGATGAACGCGGAGACTTCGGCTGGGGTGGAAGCATTGTATGCGAATTCAGACCCGTCGTCGGTGTTACTTCCCACTAACAGCGGCACTTTGAGATATTTATCGCCATCGAAGAGATTGTACAGACTGTCTGGAATGATGTCCCCGTCTACGACTGGTAGCCAGTACCATAGTGGTAGGGGTTCGTCGGAAGCACCAGGAAGAGGATGTAGCACGTTCGCCTGTTCCAGGGTGGAGATGTCGAGAGACCGGAGACAGGAAAGAATGTTCGGAGAATCTGAGCATCCGGTTTCATTGGCGAACCGGTCGAATTGGGATTCAGCCTCCGCCACGGTGGGCTGGGCAGGCCAGAAAGGACTCTCGGCGACTGCACCGACGAACAGTCCGTCGTCGCGGCCTCCGTATGCGGTGAGATGGTGGGCTACAGAGCCACCGCCCGCGGATGCTCCTTGGATTACGACGTGGTCTGGGTTTCCACCGAACTGGCTTGGGTTAGTACTACAAGAAGTTTGGTCGAGGGTGCACATGAGGTTGTACCTTGCGGATATGTTGCCGTACCCAGCGCAACGCTTTTCGTTGATCCAAGAGACCTGCGTTCAAATCACCATCACGACGGACCTCCTCGCTAGCCAGAAAGCCGAGGGCTCCGACGCGGTAATTGAAGTTGACGAAGATGATGTTGTGGCCAGATTCGCGGATCACGTTGGTGCCATTGTAGTTGGGATCGAAATTGGTTGCGTACCCTCCACCCTCGATGTATACCCAAACAGGTAGGTTTGTGGCGTTCGCCGGAGCGAACACATTAATATATAGACAATCTTCTGATTTCTCAGCAGAGACCTCCTGTTTGACGCCGAGACAAGATGGCCCGAACTAGATCCATGTCATGAGCCAGACTGGATTGAAAGATTGGGAGTGGCTTACAGTGAATGCATTTTGTATAGACGATTCCTGGACTGGGTCTCTAGGAGCACGGAATCTCAGTTCTCCTAGTGGTGGAGCAGCGAAACGCATGCCAACATATTGCTCTATTCCTGCGGAAAGCCTCACGCCTCGATAGGTTGAATATCCTAGATCGACCACTGGGGAGCCAGCAGGAAGGGCAGATGCCAGAAGGGGCAATAGAAGCCCGTAAAGAACCTTCATGATCAATACGGTTAGTTGAGAATCTCTAAAATTACTTTCTGACTACGACAGCAGCTATATATGATCTCTTCGGGAGACATAGTGGCCTGCCATTTTTCCTGCAGACTTCAACAGCCAATGCATTAACTCCTATTACTATTGATATGAAAAAGGACCGAAGTCCCCTGCATGAGCGCAGCTCGTGCGACTCTCGACCTCCCCCTTGCGCGGCTGACAATAATTGCCAATAGTTCCCACAAGCCAGACAGGTAGCCATTGACCACTACCTACTGCGCACCCAAATTCTTGATCTGCTCGATCTCCTTCGCGTCATCGAAAATACTGTCCCAGGTCATCTGCTTCCACCGCTCAGGTCTCTCCAGCGCGTCCACGAAATGCTTCATCGCCAGCACCAGCTGCGCGGCCCATTTCTCGGGAATAACGCCTCCACACCCAGTCGCCATGGGGGACATGAGAATCCGATTAATGCGCTTTCCTTTCACCTTCCCCTCTCGTACATCCCGATTCCACCGCTCCAACTCGCACAGCAAGCTCCAGACACACTTGTACACGATCTCCCGGTCCCAGGTGACGTTCTGCGGCGTGCGCATGGTCGGACAGATCGCGACCCATTGACAGCCCCAGGGGTTCTTGCCGTGCAGTTCATACGGAAACGGGACGAGGGTGCATGTGCCGGAGGGCGCGAAACCTCTGTATCGATCGTAGAGAACGCGTTGCGCGGCATCCGTTAGCGTGTCGTAGGGATAGTCGGGAAGGCAGAAGACGCGCGAGATTGCATCGTCAAAGGCCCCTTCGAGCCGGCCGTAGCAGTTGGCTGGGGACACGACCAACTGGTAGGACGAGGATTCGGGGAGCGACCTCAGGGACTCGTTTTCAACCGTGATAGTGATCCGGGGGCCGGATTGGTAGGACGGCCAGAAGATAGACAGCGCATGATGAAATGCTGCGCTGTGCTTGTTCTCCATGCAGAGGAGGAGGATGTCTGGGATGTCTTGGAGAGGCATGATGTGGTTTGAGATGGATTTGAGAGTTGACGGTTGTGAACAGATTGTGAACAGATTGCAGTTGCAGTTGTCTGGTAGTTGTCGCCTGGGCAGCTTCAAGTTACAAGACTGTGTTCTGTTTGTATAGTGAGTGAGTGAGTGAGTGGGGCCTGAGAGGGCCAATGAGGGCCAATGAGATCCTATTTATATTCCGAGATCCCTGGCCTGATGTTACAACGTATTCCGCTTAAAATTTAAATTCATTGAACATTCTTCTTCGTATGAGGATTTCCGGAACTTGCCTTTAGCAAAGGAGTCATACAGATCCATGGTTATCCCCTGAATTGGATCTCCATGAGTAAGTGCTAACTACGAAGTGATAAGTGATGTACTCCGTAGCGCCACCATCCCAGCAACCCCGCAATCCGGGGTCCCAAGGATCTTCAATTCCGCAGTCTCCAGAGGATTGGCAGAGGACTGGATGTGATGTACCCCTGAAAGCCTGAATGAAAGCCTGAGGTTGCAACCCGCCAAGCCTTCCCCTCCCTGCCGCTTCAAGGCAGCAACGCTTTCTTCCTCTACGATCATCTCGATCATCTCCCTTAGTTGGTTTCATCCATATGCCAGCCCAGCCATAGCGTCCCAAGTACTGTTCTCCGCGGGGGCTCCAAAGCCAATTTGATTCTATCCGAAGTACCCTATACTGTATCCCCCGAGGCCGAGACGGAGTTCGTTCTGGATGTCATTCCAGATCTCACTGTAGCACGCGTCTATGACGAACTCATCCAGAATGAACGTCACAAGTACGAGTTTGATGCGGACGGGGTCGGTTGCAGATTCTGGGTTTCGAATCAGATCGATCTGTTGCACCGAGTTGGGCTGGTTACCAGTGTGTCGCAGGTCTCGGCTGCTAAAGCTGGAGTACTCAAGCTGTGGCCGGACCAGACTCCGCACCCCCTGGACCAGGGAGCTTACTACTAAAGGCTGCCTGTTAGAACGGATTAGCTTCGGCAGTGTGTGCAAGGTTATGACCTTCGGTTCGTTTCTTTATGTTCCGGGCGGAATTAGCATCGAACGAATCTGATTGACGCTCTTATCATCCTATTATCCCATAACAAACCAATCAACATGGCCATGCCCATTTTATAAGACACTTCTAAGCTTTTTAACATCATAATCAGCTACTCTGCAAGTCCCGGCGTACCAAGGATTCTTGATTCCGCAGTGGAGAGCCGAGGGATGATCATCCTCGCCACGAACAGCCATCAACAACACGAGAACAAAGAGAACCTCAGCTTCCCCGCATTTTCCTAGTGACTTTAAGTTATCACAATTCCGCCCTGATTCCGCCAGGCCCAGTAGATAAAGACGTCAAAGTGGATGATCCTCGAGATAAGTTGATAATCTCGGAATTTGATAAGCGTTCCGGTTATCAGCATGTGCCCGTCCAGCCCTAACTATGTACAAGACGCTCATGATGCGCCTGTCATCTGGATCCTCTCGTCCTTCCTATACCATACTCCTGGTTAACCATGGACGCGAAGACCAAATCCCCCCATAGTGTTCCGCAGGTCGAGCTGGCCACCGGCCAGGTGGTCGGCCTGCCTGAGATGCCCATGAAACGGCGTTTCAGCATCCTGAGTATCATTGCCGTCGGGTATAACATCTCGAACAGCTGGGTGGCAATTGCATCTAGCTTTGCTATTGCCATCCAGTCGGGCGGGGCGCTCTCTTTACTATATGGCATTATCGCTGTCACCGTCGCGATGCTGGCTACCGGGTTGACCCTGGCTGAGCTGGCCAGCGTCTACCCCACTGCTGGCGGACAGTACCATTTCACTTCCATCTTAGCCTCGGCGCGCTGGAGTCGTGGTCTCTCCTACTTTAGTGGCCTGGCAGCGGTTTTTTCATGGCTTACCTTGGCTGCGTCCATCGCGCTGGCTGGTACGCAAGCCCTCATGGCCATCGTCATTCGATGGCAGCCAACGTACCAGGCTCAGTCATGGCACTATTTTCTGGTTTACCAACTTTCCAACGCGGTTATTGTTCTCTATAATATATTCCTAACTAACAAAACCCTCTGGGTTTACAACATCGGCTGTATGATCCCTCTCCCCTCGCTCCGCCGGCTTATCTTCGACAGCCTCTAACCAGAACACCAGTTCTACTATCCATATTCACCTTCCTCGCCATCACCATCACCTGTCCCGCTCGCTCCGCCATCCATGTCGACTCCGGTCAAGTATGGACACACTTCGTCAACGGCTCCGGCGGCTGGCCCGACGGAGTCTCGTTCCTCACCGGCCTCTCTACGCCCCAGTTCATGCTCTCCGGTCTCGACGCGACACTGCATCTCGCAGAGGAATGTCTAGAACCGGAAAGTATCGTGCCTCGTGCCGTTCTCGTCACGGTTTTAGTGGGGTTTCTGACTGCGTTTCCGTTCTCCGTGGCTATAATCTATAGTGTGAAGGATGTGGAAAGCTCGTTGGAGTCGGTGACAGGGTGAGCTTGTCTTCCTCTCTTCTATCCTCCCACCCTACCTGATATACACCCCATGTCCTCCATGTCCATACAAATCCCATTCTCGCCAAAAGACCCTCCCAACCGTACACATACTCACTAACTAACCCAATCCCCAACCAACCAGTTTCCCAATCTATTTCATCTGGGAAAAAGCCACCCACTCCCCCGCCGCCGCAACGGTCTTCATGGCTGCCCTCTTCGCCGTCTCCTGCATCGCTCTAAATGCCGTCCACCAGACAGCCTCCCGCATGACGTGGTCGTTCGCGCGCGACGACGCCCTCTTCTACTCCCATCGTCTGGCACACGTGAGCCCTTCCCTAGGTGTCCCCGTGTTCGCCCTCATCTTGAACGGTATCGTCGTTCTCCTAGTGGGAATCGTATATGTTGCTTCTTCGACGGGTTCGTATTTCTTTCATTTCCTCTCCTCCCTTCCCCCTTTCCTCCCAGCCGTCATCTCACCATAATCTTACCCCAATTCCCCATAAAAAGAAAACTGATGAGATTGAATAGCCTTCAACGCATTTATATCCACCACCGTAATCGTCGCCCAAATCTCCTACGCCGTGCCCGCCTTTCTCCTGCTATTCCGCCGCTCCGACCCCTCCTATCTACCCTCCACGCGACCATTCCGTGTCCCTGCAGTCGTGGGCTACGTGTCGAATGCTCTATGCGTTATCTGGGCGGTAGTGTTGTTGGTGTTTTTTTGTTTTCCGGCTACACTGCCGGTTCGGGCGGGTGATATGAGTACGTTCTTTCTTTATCTTTTCTTTATTGTTACCCTTGTTTTGCTCTGGGGAGGATATGTGGACTGGACTGGAATGTGGTTTGCTGACCAGTGTTTGTTGGTTGGTAGATTATGCGGCTGTCGTGTTGGGAGTGATGGTGGTGCTTGGGGTAGTGAATTGGTTTGGATATGCGAGGAGACGATATCATGGGCCGAGATTGGAGTGATTGATCCTTTTTTTGTCTACTTTGGATTTGGAAGGATGCTTGCTATGAGTATGATTATGATGAATGTATGTATGAATGTAGGACTTATGCCTGATGTTTGTAGTGATTGATGCCTTCACGTCTTACACTGTCTTTCTTTTCTCTTCTATGTCTGTCTTTCTTGTCCTGTCTAAACGAACACAAACACATTTGTAGTTAATCCAGACCATCCTTCCTCCCCATAAAGAAATCAATAAAACAAACGTTCATCTCCAACCACACATCCACCTCTCCGATATCTCCGTCCCCATTCTCACAAGACAACTTCCTCCCCACCCCCAAGCCTACCAACTTACTCAGTCTTCAAAACCGCCACACTCAAATTCGGCAAACTGAACTCATAAACCCCCTTCTTCCCCGCCCTCACAGTGGTCACCTTCTCCCTCACCACATTCTCCCCACCGACCTTGTTCATCGCGAACGGGTCCGGCGCGCTCAACACGGTCAACTGCGCCTTCGTGCCGGCCTGGACGCCCTCGAAGGAGAGCGAGACGGGGACCTCGGCGGTGCTGTTGTAGACGGCGGCTTTGAAGATGCGGGAGTTGGTGGCGTTGTCGAGGCCGGTGGCGTAGTAGAGGGGGCCGAAGGAGGAGGTCGAGGTCGAGGGGAGGGTGTTGGTGATGTGGGTGTGGGAGAAGAGCTGGATTGCGGGGGTTTTTAGTTAGTGGTTATTCTAGTCTTTTCTGGGTGGGAGGGAGTATGTGGGGGGGGGGGGAAGATAGTAGGAGGGGAAGGATGAAGGGGGCGGATAGTGTTAGGTTGTTTCATAACGTACATTGTATAAATGCCAGCTTGCGGATCGGGCGGTTTGAGCTGGGTCAGCGTTGAAGGCGATAAAAGTAGGAGACCACTGGTAGTTATCAAGGTTCATCAAGAAAGGGGCCTAGATGAAAAGGAATTGTGATTAGTACGCAAGCTCCAAGGTCTCAGAGGCTCAGTCTGCAGCAAACAACATACATAGGTCGTTCCGATAATCTTGTCAGCATTTCGCTCGGCGCCCAACAGAAAGACGGCTTCGGCGACGGTGCCGATCCACCACGGATACAGGGAGAAGTTGGTGTCGCTCCAGTCAATACCCTTGCCGTTGTTGAACTCGGTGGCAGCGATTTCGCCTATCCAGCAGTTAGCAGGCCCACACTCAAACACATAAGAGATGATAGAGCGGACGCACCAAGCAAGAGCTTGTGCTTGGGATCGAACTGGTCGAAGAAGTTGAACCGGGTGACAAAGTTGTCAGGCACGTCGTATAGATGGTAATCACCAGCCGCGTCGCCCGGCAGAGTCATGTCGACTGTCGAGGCAATGACCACCATGTCCGGGTACTTGGCTTTGATGGCGTCGTAGAATGCTTGGAATCGGTACGACTTGTACGACGACAATCCGTTGTTGAGGTTATCTTCGTTGCCAACCTCGACGTAACGCAGAGTCCATGGTTCCGGGTGACCGACCAAAGCACGCAGAGCGCCGTACTCGGTGTCTGTGGAGCCGGTAAGGAACTCAATTTCGTTCAGCGCGTCTTGTACGTAGAAGTCAAGGTCGGCTTCGGGGATCGCGTCGCCGTTCAGAGCAAACCCGGCCCAGACGGCGAGAACTATAATTTATTGCAATGAGCCTGCTGCCGATTGTCCAAAGAGCGGGATTTGACTTACTCGGCTCGATTCCTAGATCGTCGCACCATTCCATGTACTCAACCAATCCCAGTCCGAGACTTTCCTGGTATCCCCAGGTGGTGTCACGGCCCGGACGGTCTTTCAAGGGTCCGATGGTCTCGTTCCACTTCCATCGGCCGGCGAGAAAGTCACCTTCGAGGTTGTTTCCACCGGGGAATCGCAGAAATTTCTGCATGTTTTAGTCAGCTCATAATCCTCATCTCTATTGAGGACAGACTTACCGGGCCAAAGTCTGCCATCGCCTGCATCAAGTCCTTCCGAAGACCATTAGGTCGGTCATTGTAGGTTGGAGGGAACAGACTGATAAGATTAAAATCGAGCGATCCCTCTGCTGTTTTCTGTTCCCGAGTCAGCAATCTCCGTCATATTTACCAACGAGCTGACTTACGGAAGCATCAAAGCTGATCGAGAATGTGTTCTTGGTGTTAGGTGCGGCCTTGCGAGGCGTTAGGGTGAACTCATGCTGCGTCCACTCGCCGCGCACGCTCTTGGACTTGACCTTAGTGCTGGCGAAAACTTCTCCCGTGGAGTTGGACTGGATAGATGCCGTAAAGGATCCCTTGTAAGCCCCCTTCACGTAGAATGAACCGGTATATTTCTGCTTCTTCACATCAATACCCCACCAGCCCAGGTTCGTCAGACCGGCCTTGCCACGGCTGCCTTTGACATTCACCGAGGTTGGCAATGCAGACGATAAGGGCTGGCTGAGGTTCTTCAGAGCCAAGGTTGACCCATCAAGGGGGATCCAAGCATCCAAGGTAGAAGGATATCGAGAACCTCCTTGGAAGGCTCGGTTGCGGATCAATTCTGCGTACAGACCTCCCTCGCCACAATGGTTGATTTCCTGAGAAAGTCAATCGCTCATACTATTACATGAATAGGCAGGATATGAATACCTCTTCCATAATGCCATACTGCAGATCGCTAGTAACGTTGCCACCAGATTTGGCAACCGTGATCTTAACTGCAGCACTGCAGGCCGCCAAAAGTGGCAGCAAAAGGCACTTGCGAACCATCTCGATGACTCCACAAAACACTAGGGCTCAAAGTCACTGCAATCTGCCGATCTTATTCCCAGTCACTGGCAAGGTTGCAGGAGGACCGGGCGATCCCAGACCGGTTATATATGCATGCCTCGCCTCGCCTGTCGCTTTCCCATCCGTAGCTGTGTTTGCCCCCTCCCCACGGCCAAGAGCCCTCCGCATTTTCGTCCGCCTTGTGAAAGAGGGGACGATTCATGAAGCAAGCCAGCAAAGGTAGCTCCAAAGAATCTACCAGAATTCCCACGATTTCTCCTTCTGGCAAAAGTCCAGAGGGGGGGGGGGGGGGGGGGGGGACGAAACGGGAACACACCCTCCCAAGCCTTGGGTGGCGGGGATTTGTTCGGAGAATTGGCCCGGATTGCA